GAATAGGTCTATAAAAGCCTAGATAGATAGGTGTGGGGGTTGTGGGGTGAGGGAGCATGTGGGGGGATGTGTGTGCGGATGTGGGGTGTTGGGGAGGGTTGCTGCAGTGTGTGAGAGGGTGTGGGTGTAATGGTTTGCATGTATGGCAGTGCAAGGAGGGGTGTGGATACATGTGTATAGTGGGGTGTGCATGTGGGACCTGCCCTATGAACACACACACTGTATTCCTCCCTCGCAGTATACACACACACACTCTGTCCCTCCCATATTGCTCTCCCTCCCTCTCTCATTGCACGGATGTACGCACACACATACACGCGCCCTCCCACTCCTGGACCTGGGATACCGGCACGGGCCCCAAGCTCCCACAGTCTGACCATGCAGATGGGAACCACGTGGTGCAGCAGTGGGCAGGATAGCAGTGAAGGTGGTGGTGGGTGGGGGGGCGGTAAAATAATCCAGAAGGCCAAATGAAGAGGGAAAAGGGGACAGCAGACAATTCTGAGTAAAAGGAAACAAGATTGGAAGCACTTATTTCCTTTTTAAAAGGAATTAAGGAAAAGTAGTCTGAAAACAGAATTTATATAGGTATGAGAAAGTCTATGAACTGCACCAGAATTCAGAGTGTATGCTTCAACTCATAAAATGTGTAATTTTGTTGCACTACTTGCACCATGGAAGCAAAGATTCCTCTTACAATGCTGTAGTAATTAAAGCAAATAAACTCTCTGATGGTAAGCGGACACTAGGGTTATTGTTACACATTACATGTAGCACATGTTATATTTAGATCTTAGTAAACATTAATACAACCTAGACAGCTTTCTAGTCAGTCACACATTAATGCTTACTATGATCTAAATATAGGTTGTAGTACCCCACCAGAGTCTTGAGCTAGCTCCAGTTTAATCTCAGAGCTGAGACCGAAAATCAGCCAATTTTGGTTCTAGACTCATGTGGGGTCCCAAGACCAAGCCTGAAAATCACCTGAGATCACACTGGAGCCAGGTCAAGTCTCTGGTACAGTAAGGAGGCTGAGAGTGACCCCAGCACCACACAAAAGCCAGTCCCAATCCCCACAATACAGGGGAGCTTTGAACTGGCTCCTATGCGGTACCAGGGTTGCTCCCAGCCCTCATGCAGCACAGGAATCTTGAAGCAGCTCCTATGTAGTGCGGGGGCTGGGACAAGCTCCCATGCAGTGCTGGGGTTGCTCCCGGCCCCCACACTGGACCACAGTCTTGAGCAGGCTCCCATGTGGTATAGAAGGCTGGGGGCCAAAAACTGCTCTTTATAGCTCCCAGCCTCCTTATGGCACTGGGACTGGTTGGCTATGGTGCAGAGGGTAGGGTGGGAACCCAAAAACTATTTGCTGGGTTCCCAACCTCCCCTCTTCCTGCACCCCTTTCCTGCTATAGTCTCCTTATCATATTCCCTCAGTGGAGCAGTCTGACCTCAGCTCAACAGGTGTTCGGTAATGCGATCTGGAGCACTCCTCGCTGGAAAAGGCATAACTTTATTACACCAAGATGGTACTTAGCATGTGCTTTACTAGATGAACACATCCTGCTTACCAACGAACAACACTGAGGTAGACAGATTATTCCAACTTTTCTCTGAGCCTAATCTGCATATAAAATGAACTTTTCCAAACACGAGATTTTACCACCTTCAACTCTCCTATGAAATATGAACTTTCATTTCTACCCAGGAGAACCCTTACAATCTTTTCTCCGATGCCTGATGAAGGGAGTTTGTGTCCAAAAGCTTGCAATTAAAACCTTTTTTTTTCTGCAAAAATCTAATTGGTCCATGAGTCCTAATTGTTTCTTACTGCTTCAACACTCAAACACTAGCATTGTAAATATTGTTAGCATGTGCTAAGTGTAAGGTATAACAATACCCTAGGGTTAGAGGTTTTACACCTTTCATCAGTGTCAAACCTAAGTAGAGTGAGGTAGTTGTGGGTGTGTTAGTCTGAAGTCAGACAGAAGGCAGGGTAGATTTGCACCTTGTAGACTAACTAAATCAGACGCATAGCATAAGCCTTCATAAGCAACAAATTTACTTGATCAGTATTTGACGAAGTAAGCCCCCTGCTTAAAGAAAGCTTATGCTGTGTATTCTATGATTTAGTAAGTGTATTAGGTGTTAACATAAATAAACTTATATTAGGTTGTTACTGTTGACCTATTATCAATGTGCTTATTCTTTTAATGGTACTTTAAAGTCACTTTTTGAACTGTTGATTTAAATGTCTTTAGTTGCAGCATTAATATTTTATTTGGCTAAATTTGTGTTTGTTTAATTATTTAGTTAGTTAGTTACCGATGGCTGGCATGTTAAAATAACCCCATATTTGCAAAAGTTGCCACTACTAAGCATATAGAGAGGAGGTCCACAAAAATGTATGTATTTTTATCATGTATTATTTTGGGAGAAGGAGGAAAAGTCATAATTGAGGTGGCTGAGAGCTCTTCTCTCAGTAGGCTGTTGTCTAGCACTATTATGAGCTGAAAGGCTCCAACCTTATCTGCCTGTTTGAGAAAGAGCTATCAGCGTGAGAGCTCCTCTGTCACCTCCTCCTGGATAACAATCCTGCTGCGAATCTCATGCTTTCTTTGAAATTCTCACCACAGCAGGAGAACTAAAAAGAAATATCATGGCACCAAAAAACAGAAGACTGATATGTAACACAGAAGTGTGTGTCAAAGAAATGCTGGGTTAGAAAACCAGTAAATAAAGGATAACTGGAAAAAAACAGTTATGAGAAACTTGTTTAGTCAAGTTTTTTTTCTCAAGTGTCATAACTCACAGTCAACTATGGAGCTAACAATAAAAAGAAGCAGGAGCTTGCTTTTTTTGAGGAAGAAGTGATTTAATGAAAAGTATTAGGTTAGACCTGTGCAATCTCATACTGCAGCGATGGGTCCAGAAAGTAGGCAGACAGACGCAACTTGATATAAGAATCCGTAAGATACCTATGTTGCCACACTGTTTATAGCACTGGTGCTTAATCTGTAGTGTGCGAGTCGAATCTGGCCTGTCGAGCCATGTCATCTGACCCAGGGGCTCCCCAACGGTCCAGAAGGTTGGTGCCAAGGGAACAGAAGCAGAGTTAATCATGCTGGGGCATGAGGAGTTGGTCCACAGCTAGATCTGGCATGTGGGGTTAGGCCAGCCCACTAGAGCAATCCGCAGCTGGATCTGCCGCACAGGGCTACTCTGTCGCTGGATCCAACACGCAAGGCCAGGTTGGTGTGCTGGACTGTACTCATGGATCAAACCCACACACCAACCCCATGCTGTATTACGCCTTGCTGACCCTGAGTGTGGGATCCAGCCTGTGAACTGGCTCCATGCCATTCATCTAGCCCATGCGGCCAGACAGATTAAGCACCAGTGGTTTATGGGTTTCCTGATACGCTGGGGTATTTTGGGGATTTAAAATGTGATTTCTGAGAGAGTTGGGCAACTTCAATTTTCATTCCTAAATGAGAGTGAAAGAAAGCAAGAGAGAGTATGAATGAAGTCATCATTCTGCAACTCAGGCTTACAAACACTATCATTTTATGACTAGCCCAAGCCTATAAAATGTATATGTCTTTCTCTCCCGTAATGAAAACAGATTTATTTTGATGGGTGACTAAATCAATCACCCAGGTTGACCTGGCAAGCAAAATGTTGCAAGGCGGCAGTAATTAAAGCAGATGAACCCTATGATGATAAGCAGGCAATAAAGTTAATGGCTTTAAGCCTTTCAGTATCTAAAGTTTTGTAATGGAATGTCCTTTCTTCCATTATTACTTAAATGAATAATCTTAATTAAATACCTGGGATTTTTTTAGTTCCCTCTTCAGCTGAAGAACTGTAATATGATGGGGATCTTCTTGATCACTTCTAATTCCACTCTCAACTTGTGGCATGGCAAGAGCTTCCTCCCTCAATTCCTGCACCATATTGATCCAATCTTGTAACTTGTCTTTTTGACTTCCTGTTAGGCTGATGATGTCATTTAAATTGACTAAAAATCTGAAGACTTTCTCAATGCAATTTCTGTAGCTGAAACATTTCACCTGAAGCTGGGCCAGTTGGTCTTCAAGAGAATTGATTCGAGTCCTATCTTGACTGAAGTCCTGTGATCCTTGACTAGCCTGGGACATTGCACTAACATGCTGGTTCTGCAAAGCTTCCCTAAGCAATTTGATCTCAAGTTCCATTTCATCAATCCGTTCCCAGTCAGGATTGTAGTTAACAACTGGTTTATTTCTAATATTCTTGGCTCTATTGGCATACTTGAGGGAATTTAAAGATTCGTCAAAGTCAGATGAAGATGGACTTATACATGTTATCATGACAGTCTTGGCATTTCCTCCTAAGGAGTCTTTCAGAATACGAGTAATTTTAGCATCCCTGTATGGAATATGTATACTCTTTCTCTTTGGGTCTCCAAGAGCACTTATTACATTTCCCAAAGCCAAGAGGCCACTGTTGATCTGAATTGATTCTTTGAACCGTTCACCAGTGTTTCCAGTTTTGGTCACTCTTTCTGATCCTGCCAGGTCTACAAAGTGGAACTTTGAAGTAATCATCTGAATTGATCTCTGAGATGAATCTTGTGTGACACCTACATTTTTCTGAGACTGTGCAGGCTGTTTCTGACAAACACTAATAGTAAAGATGGCATGAGACCGGCTTGAGTGCTCATTCATTTTAGTTGTACCTGTGTGACGAGCTGCATTCCCACTTTCCAACAGGCTCATCACTTCATCTGCACTTTCCACTTGATAATCCTTGGCACCAATAATCACTTCAAATATCAAACCAGAGAAAGCATGAATAATAGGTCAACAATAAGTTCTCAGCAAGTTTGCAGAAAGCTAGTTCTGCTACATAAAGAAGTCATCAGTGGTCAAGCTAATTTACATAAACTCACCAACAAAATACATCAGAACTGGTATTAAATTCACATTAAAACTACTTAAAACAGTTTACCAATGAAAGCTGTAGTACCTATTAGGTAAAATGGCTCAAATGCATATTTTCAGGATTGGACCCAAGGCTGCTGATGTTTCTATTTCATTTCATATAGGAAACTGGACAAAGTTATGCTCCCTTGTTAAAAATTGAATTGTTAAAAGAACAATTCATTTTAACTTTCTGACTACCGATAGCTTAAAATATCCATGTGCAGTTTTGTGCTCATAAGAAGTAGTACATGAAGACGTAGAGGCCAAGATACCCCTATTCTAAAAAATCAGGCTCTATGTGCCAGCATTCACATTACCACATTAAATAGTTATCATGTTTGAAAAACTTAAAAGCAGGCATATGGAATTTCAAAAGTTGTTTGTGAGCTAAGAACAAGTGAGAGAAATCTCAGTTCAGAGGGTGCGTTTTTCCAGTTAAAATAGGTTCCTTGATCATCACTAGAACATTGTGTTAGAGAGCACATGACTTCTAAGGAGAGGCTGAGAGAACTAGGCTTATTTAGACTGGAGAAGAGAAGACTGAGGGGGGATTTAATAGCAGCCTTCAGCTACCTGAAGCGTGGTTCCAAAGACGATAGAGTGAAAGTGTTCTTAGTGGGGGCAGATAACAGAACAAAGAGCAACTGTCTCAAGTTGCAGCAAGATAAGTTTAGGTTAGCTATCAGAAGTATCTTTCTCACTAGGAGGGTAGTAAAACACTGGAGCAGGTTACCCAGAGACTCTCCATCTTTGGGCATTTTTAAGACCTGGCTAGACAAGGCCTTGGGTGGGATGATATAACTGGAGATGGTGCTGCTTTGAGCAGGGGGTTGGACTAGATGACCTCCTGAGGGCCCTTCCAACCCTAATTTTCTATTATTCTATACTATAATGTGTTGCTCTGATGGTATGGATTTTCTGAACAGTTTTCAAGTTTTCTATAGTTCTATAGAACTGGACCATCTATAATAGATTAGCAGAAAAGAATAGTGGTAGTATTATTATTAAAGATTTTGCCTAGGATTTTAGAGATTAACAAAAAAGCTTGTCTATTGAGGGTATCTGTTTGACTGAGGCCAATTAGAAATTACATTCTTACAAATCTGTCTTGAAGAACAGCAAACATTCCTTGTGCAACACTTTAAAACTCATTGCTGGACCACTGCCCACTGCCCACCAGCAGCATTCTTGCTAATGCCTCCTTAAGCAGCTACAGTATGTTCTGCAGAAAAAAAACCCTTTATGCTGGTGCAGCATACCTTCTGCTATAGACAAGAAAGCCATGCTAGCTCATTGCAGTGGAACATTAACACCAGAATAAATACAACATTTTGAAAATGAAGAATAATGTAGGTGGAAAAAAATACCTTCAGGGATGGAAGAAAGCACTTCATATATTTAATCCATTTCCATAGCCTCTAACAAAACCAGAAGCTTCTCTTATCACCACTTTCTCCTCTCTCTCTCATTTCATTTTATACTGAACAAACAGTTTCTACATAAGGCTCCAGATGCTAATAAACCAGCAGCTTTGGAGGCACAGAGACTTGCTTTGGAAGCACAGATTCCTTATCTTGAAACAAGCGTAAGCAGATTGGGAAGCCAAAGGCACTCACTCAGGTAAAAATAATGGCTACTGAAGTCACTGTGGTCCCTTTAAAGCAGGGGTGAGCAAAATGCAGCCGGTGGGCCAGATGCAGCCCACCAGGCCATTCTAGCCAGCCCAAAAAATTTAGAAAATAAATATTTATCTGCTCCTGGCTGCCTGGCATGCAGCCCTGGATGGCTTGCCAAAACTCAGTAAACAAAATAATTGCCCACCCCTGCTTTAAAGCATTTGGAAGAATGGGAGTTCAGGGAACAGGGTGAAGGATCATTGAGACTTTCATCTCATTGTACACCTACCCAAGACTGTAATCTGGTACCTACACTAGTGGTATGTGACTCCTTGATTTTTCAAACAGTTAATACAAGACTTACTCAGACCATTTGAACTGAACTCTGCATTTACTGATAAAAAATTATTTCTAAAACAAAATAAATTTCTAAAACAAATTGCTCTCTTAACCTTGTAATGAGGAAGTACTTTTCAAGAAAAGGCAAGGCATTTTTCATTTACACATGATTAAAAACAAATTTAATATTTTTTAAAAATGAAATGGGCTTCTCTACCTGTATTTCCTTTTTCATCTTCTCGAATATGTAAATCTTTCATAGAGGTCTCCAGCTCTAGCAGATCACGGAGTTCTTCCTTGTAGACCTCTATATAAGATACTTTTACACTGAAATCAATATTAGTGTTTTCAGAAATGCTCTGAAATAGTTCCTGGATAGCATGTGGAATGATACCTTTTTCATCCTCTGCCACTGATGCTAAAATATAAGCAAAGATGTGATCAGAGCTTGCAGTCAATATACCTTTAATATGAAGTTAAACATTCTGAAACATGCAATGGATGCACTGTATCAATACACAAATGAACGTGAAGAATTTTAATTCTTGCAAGGACTCACAATATCAAAAAGCTAAATATTTGTTTATAGTCCATAACAGAAAATCAAATTCAAGCTCTAATAATGCCTTGGCATTTAATTTAAGGCCGAAGGTAAAATGGTGACTCAGCGATCAAACGTATCACAGTTTTGAGCTTACGTTTCTCATGAGACAGTTTCTTAACATCTATTAATTGCTGGTGGGAGCAGCAGTTTTAAAAGGATAACTTAATATTTGTATTTGATACCTCTTTTGCCAATAAAGGAACAAGAGACATTCAGTGAATTTCCATTTGCCAAAAACAGGATGCTATTTATGAAAAATGATTATTCTTTAGAAGGTAGACCCAATACAGAATGAAACTGCTATCTACCTCATTTCAAATTTGGTATTGATTTAGGTCAGAGGAGACCAACTCATTGGGCCCAGTAGGCATGATCTAATGCATGGGGCTGCATCATCTCATGGCTCACAGGGCTCCCTATGGGTCCAGAAACTTAGCAGCGGGATGCATAGCAGCAGAGCCTACAGCCACACCAATTCATTCTGCCACTATTTCCCCACAGCCAGATTTCTCGACCTGTGGGGTGCCCCACAGGCTGAATGACACAGCTTCCATGCTGAAATCAATATTAAGTTCCAGGGCCACCCCATGGACCATATGCTGGTCACCCCTGATTGAAACTGAACATCCATGAACAGAGCACCTCATTTTTGCACCATTTTTCTCAGGTATCTTGGGTCCAGCCTAATTTAGAATGAACCCGTGTTTTGAATAGCTTATCTCATATTTGGCCAGAAGAATATATTAGTTTATAGTTGCATTTTCAGGTAGCCTTTCAAAACATAACTCGTCAGTAGGGACCTACCCAAACTGTGGTTGCACATATTTTGTGGAAATAGTAGAATTGGACTATTTCCACAAAATCCACAAAGAAAAGAAAACTTACTAAAAACAAAATGCTGGCTCTCTAGTAGGGAGCAGACAAGATGACTGCCGCCCCCCGGCCCCCCCGCCACTGATTGGCTGAGAGGGCTGCTTGTCATGCAGCCCTGCCCCTCTCCACCAATCAGCAGTAAGGGGCGGGGCTGTACAATGAACAGCCCTCTCTACCAATCAGTGGGGGGTGGGGACC